TTTTGAGCAACCCAGAGTGCGATTTCTATATTATCGCCATATATTTTTGTGTTATTTCTAAGAACATCGTATACGCGTATACTTTTGCCCCTCTGATATTACCAATCCAAAAAATCGAGCAATGCGCGTCTTTCTGCTGTTGCTTTTAATTCTTGTCAGTGGGTTGCTGTCGAGCGGCGTGGCGGAGGCCCTGCACCGTGTTCCGCTGAGGCGCCACAGCAATTTAGCTGAGGCATTCCATTACGGTAACTTGCAGCCGCTTTCTCGCACATTCCGTGGTGACCATGACGATGTCGTTATTAACGACTTCCTCGGAATGCAGTTCTATGGCCCCATTCGGCTGGGCACCCCTCCGCGTGAGTTTCAGGTGATTTTCGACACCGGCAGCAGTAATCTGTGGGTTCCCACTCAGGAGACGCATTTGTGCGTGGTGAAGAGGTGCTATAATCCTAAAGAAAGTTCTTCCACAACTCCAGACGGTCGCGAGTTCCACATCAAGTATGGTAGTGGCTCTGTTAAGGGAGTTTTAGTTGAGGATAAAATTCAATTTGCGTCCTTCACAGCAAACCAAACATTTGCTGAGGTGTCCGATGTTTCGGGGTTGGGCAAGATGTACGTCTTTGCTAGGTGGGATGGCATCATGGGGATGGCGTGGCCCGTCCTTGCGGTTGATAACGTCAAGCCACCGATTTTTTCGCTGACAGAGGAGGACAAGAACCTGGCGAACCAGTTTGCGTTTTATCTTCCTAAGAAATCGAGTGAGAAGGGTCAGCTCCTGCTTGGTGGGTACGATAACGACCACTTCACGGGCAAGCTCGTTACCGTACCGCTGACAACAAAGATATACTGGACGGTCAACATTACCTCATCGAGTATTGGGAGTGCTGTGCTCAGCGACACGGTGACGGCCATCGTCGATTCGGGGACTTCACTCATTGTGGTTCCCAGAAAAAGTTTCGATAAGATTGTTGTATCCACAGGTGCTAAAAAGAACAACGGGGGGCTATACACTGTGGACTGCGAAAAAGTGTCTGTCCTGCCGAATATCGAGCTGGAAATTGGTGGTACCAAATGGGTATTCCAGGGCAAGGACTATATCATCAACTTCTTGAGTATGACATGCATACTAGGAATGATCCCAATAGACGCTAATCTCATAACTGGAGAGTCTTGGATTCTAGGGGATGTTTTTCTTATGCACGTTTACACCGTTTTCGACGCAGACAACGCCACTCTCAGTTTTGCCTATGCAAAATAGCCCGACCAAAAGCTATGTCGAGAACTCCGAAGAGGGATGTGTGACGAAGGACGCATGCTATGCGCAAAGCACTCACTGTGTCTTTCATTCTGGATTTAGCCGAAGCTTCGCCACCATCTGATAAACGCCTGTAAGGAGGGACGTGATGCTAATTATTTTTATTTTATTTATGATTATTTTATCTATACAAGCCGCAGAAATATACACATATGTTTATATATTTATTTTCCACCTTAAAAAATGGGAAAGGGAAAACCACCTATGCGGGGAAAATATACTGCCAATGATTCTGGTAGAAATGATATGCGAGTATTGGAGAAAGGAAAATAATAGTATTAGGATTGCTAATTCAAAGCCTTTACTTCTACTAGTAGAAAATTTTGTATTTATAGAATGATCGACTCTATACCCATGAATGTGTAAGAAAGGATCCGTACTGACAATTAGTGCATATAAGTCTGTATTGTGCTGTGATGGGCAGCTGAGCACGTTGAGTTGACTCTTTTCCTTCTTTTAAATCTTGTAAGATGGTAGTCACTGCTAGCATAGGGTTGTCTGGGCAGAATAGCACTACGGCGTGGCGCGTGATGCTGGTATGTCGGAGGTGATGCGCGTGTCGCTCCGTCAAGGCCTGTGATTGCTTGCTAGGGGTGGGGTTGAGTGTCTTGCGGTGCTACCTGCGTTGCACCTGAATGTACGCGTCTTTGAGCCGCCTGGGCCTGGTGATAACTTGCTACTTGTGTGCGTGTGTCGCAGGATTCCTATTGTCTTTCCCGCTTTAATGTTTGCATGTCTCCTTACCAGCGCCGCTTATTGCGGTCATGGTGGCTTGCATGCGGGACGCCTCTGCCGCCGCAGCACCCTTTGCCCGTGCAACTAATTTGGTGCGTCGAGACACGGTGGGTGTCTCCTGGGGTGGCGGGGGCGAAGACGCGGGTTTGGAATGGGTGCGGTACGTGCTTCCCGATGCTGAAAATTCGGAACCCTTACTTTCCGCTCTCTTTGCCATTGTTTTTTAGGTGACTTTAAGGAAGGATAAATGGAATCTCCAAAAAAAGCTTCGGTTAAACACATTGAATTTCAGCTTCAGCGTGAAAAAGCTTTAACGAGAGATCTAGACGCGAGGTGCAAGGCATTTCAGGCGCAGATTGCCCAGCTTGAACAGGATAAGGCAGAGCTTCGTAGAGAGAAACTGTCTTTTGCAGAGGACGCCAAGAAGCTCCCCAAGCTTGATGAGCGGGCCCACGCACTTATTAAGGATATTGAAGGTAGGGATGCTATTATTAATCAGTTGCGTGCGAGTTTGGCAGAGGCCAAGATAGAAATTGACGCGATTCGTCACAATGCTAATACATCTATTGCTTCATGGAAGGTTGCTGAAGCGCAATGGATTTCTGAGCAATCTGCACTCAATGATTATATTAATGAACAAGAGGCTAAAATTGCGAATTTGCAAAGTGTTCTTAATCAAAAGCAGGCTAAGCTCGAGGAGGCTGTTGGAAATCTTAAACAAGAATATGAACGAGCCGAAAAAATCAATAAAATTCGAGAACAACTTGATAAAGAGCTCTTAGGTATTAACGAGCGGCTTGAATGTTTACAAAATCGTAATTTTGAACTCGACCAAAACATTTACCAACTGAATCTTGAACGGGATCAGATGAAGGAGTCACTCGATTACAAGGACACTGAAATTAAGACACTCGAAGCACGCATTGCAAAACATCTAAGTACTGAGGAAAAGCTGGAGCAAATGATTAATTCGCTAAATGACCGTATCAACTCTGCCAGGATGATTAATCTAGAGGGAAAAAGTGAAAATGAAAAACTTTTATGTGATATTGCTGATGCCCGTAAGGAGAACCAACGGTTGGTCATGCAGATGGATGCCCTAAAAAGAGATCTGGAGTTAGGTTCGCAAAGTCAAGCAATGCTGCAAAGGACTTTGGATGATTTGCGTGAAAAATATCAAGCCGAGCGAGAAGATTTGAAAGAGAGGAACCTCGAGGTGCGAAAACATGAGCTCACGATCAGTCAGCTTACTGTGGAGATAAAAAAATCAGAGAACCAATGCGCTGAGTGGTCCTTTAGGTCCTTATCGATGGAGACGGAGCTACGGAAACTGAAGGAAGAGGCGCGAAGGCTTAAGGACAGTGCAGAAAGCTACTTGGAAGAAAATATTGATTTAAAGGAGCATATTCAAGCTTTAAAAGTTAAGCTGGACCGTAAAGATGAAGAAGTGGTTCTTACATGTTCTCAACTTGAAGATCGCATCGAGAGCCTTACTTCGGACCTCAAAAACATGGAGAAGCAGGTTATGGAGCGTCAGGAGATCATAAATGATCTTACAAACGAGCTTGGCCGCACGAACGAAAAGAATGCCGTGTACCACAATAAGATTTTAGAAGAGTCAGAGGCTGTTACAAGATTGCGTAACGACTTCGTATCTCAGTTTAATGAGGTGCAATCAAGAGCGCGCGATGTTTTTCTGCTGAAGTGCATGTGTGAAAAACAAGAGCAAGCCATGATCTTTCTTAGCGACATCATAAACATTTTGTGTACCGAGCGGAGTTCGCTGCTTTCCTTACAACTGTTTTACCAGTGTGAGTTGCGCTCAAGGCAAAAGGAAATTAATGAGCTCGTGAAAACGATTGCTAGCTGCGAAGACATCCATAGTGAACTCCAAGTCCGTGTCGTGGCTCAAAGCACTGAGCTTCAGGCTCTACAAGAGAAACTTGTAGAGCAGAATGATTTGTGCTTGGAATATGCAGAGGAAATGACTAAGCTCAAAGCACAAGCTACAACAACACATAGTTTGGCAGATCAAAAGCAGAAAATTATAGAAAAATTGAACGCTGAAATATTTCGTCTCGAGAAGGAAAAGCAAGCGCATGGAGATCGATGGGCGCTGGAGCTAGACCAAGAAAAGCACCTCATTGCAGCTCTTTTATATCACGAGAAAAAAAATATTGCTGTCTTTGATGAGAAGCTATGTTCATTTGACGAGTGCATAATGGTCAAAGTCGAGTGTTACGAACAGGCTATCATCGCATCCCTTGAAAATGCTCAACGCAATCTGAGGGAAGAAGGTGAAGCCAAACAAAAGGCTCTCCTCAGATGTAAGGAAATGGCTGCCCTCATCGAAGAAATCAAGGGATCTAACAATAAAGATCTTATCGCAGCCACAGAGAAACAGAACACGCTTCATCATAGAATCGAAACACTTGAGAATCAACTACAAGTGGCGAAAAATGAAACTAAACACACAGAGTTTCACCTGAATGCGCTGCTGCTCAGGTTTGAAAGTGAACAAAAGGCAGCTAGCGCATTTAAAAAGGAGTCTCATAAAGCGCTTAAAAGTGAGCGAGTGCAACTGGAGAAAGTGGAAAAAGAGAATCAGAAACTTCGAGATGCGTTGGAGTATGAAATAAAGCGTAAATGTGAGTACAAAGAAGCTTTGGAAGAATTGAAGCGTCTTCGTGAAGAAGGTGAAGGGTATCGCAGGAAGGAAAAGGATATCGCTACGGAAGCCATCAAGGCGGCCAATGAGGAGGCAAGGTACTGGGTGGAGTGCTTTGATAAATTAAAGACTATGGTCGAGACGAGTCGCCAGACCGGAACCCGCATTCCTTCTGTTGATCCTGATACCTGTAGCCGTCTGGAATCTGTAAAATCAAGAATATCCGAGGCTTTGCAACCGCAAAACGTCAATCAATCCATCCCTCAGGACGTGAAATATAAGCGGCAAAGAATAGATTTTTGCGAGTAGACATCTTTTCTTCGTATTTTGTATTTTAGATTACTCATAGGAGTACTCCTCCACTTAGATTTCTTTTGTTTTGTTAGAAAGGATAGCGAGGCTATATTTTTTGTTGTTTTTTTCTGTCTCACTTAGATGGTTACAAAACCTTTTTTTCCTACTTAATTCCTTTTTCCGTATTTTCAATAAATAATATATCAACTTGTTAGCTTCTTTCTTTTTCATTTTTATCAGTATTCTGTTATCATTTAAGGAACTTCATATCCTATTCTTTGAATGCATTTTTTTAAAAACTTTTAGTTTAGATGATTAAAAATGTCAGACCACTTTTCAAGGCCAGCATAACTACTTTCAATCCATGGAAGAAGCGCCCAGGTGGACTTGATTTACATGGTAGACCGCAGGTAGTTAGTCCTGGCTATTTTAAGGATAGATATCGCCGAATGAATCCTGATGATCCTACGCGCTTACTGAAGCCAAGCCATGTGATTGTAAAGCGTTGCCCCGCATGCCAGCGCACAAAGTTTATTCCGCTATCTAAAAAGAATCACTTCTACACTTGCTGCGAGGGTCAAGTAATGAAGCTCTATGCTAACATGAAGACCGTTATGGATGCGGAGCACAAACTGATTGTTGCCACGCGCCAATGGGATGTTGAAAACCAGCGGCCGTGGGATAACTCGCACCGACCTAAGCCAAAGGGTCGTTCAAAACTGAAGAAATAAAGTCGGACGAGTTTTCTACGAGGATTATTGCAAACGCAAAGCTTATGCGTCATGTATTCGCATAGGGGACGAGATGAACTGAATGTGAAGTTTAACGAGGGTAAAGTATCTGTTGATGTCACCATAATACCAATAATGCAAGAATTCGACCCCTTCAAAAAAAAAAAATTGCTATTCTTTTTCCATTTCACTTATTTCCTCTTATGCTAAAGTACATTGTTTATTTCGATCTTTAAATCTAAAAAATACAAGCAAACACAAACTATTACATAATGGTTGCGAAAAAGGGACGAAAGAAGGATAAGAAAAAAGGACAGGTCAAGCGCACAGCAGAGCAGATTGCTGCCGAAGCTGAGGCTCTTCGAAGAGCAGAGGTTCAAAAGTTGGAGGACGAAGCCCTCGCTTTTATCAATGAGGAGAATGGCCGTAGAGAGCAAGACGAACAAAAGGAGGAAAGTGCTCGAATTCAAGCAAAGCTACAACAGCAGCTCAAGGAAAAGGACTACTCCATCGAGCAACTGGAGGCTAAGCTCCTTGAAGCCAACAGTATAATTAACACAGATCGCGAAAGCAGTATATCCCAGATTCAGGAGCTTTCAATCCACTGTCAATCGCTACTTAATGAGGTAAGTCATCTCCGCTCGGTGGATAAAGAAAGAAGGCTACAATACACCAAGGAAATACAGGAGAGGGTGCACGAGATCCATAAGCTCAATGATGAAATATCTGAGCTCAAGTTACAGGCAAGCAATGAGAAAAAGATCTTTAATGAAAAACTGTCAACCCTGCAATCACTAGTTGAGGTGAAGCAAACTGTGGTCACTGAAATGGGGTCTGAGACTACTGAGAAAAGTGGGGTGCGTGAAGAATGTTTTATGGCATCACTTGCGAAGATGGAAAAAGTAATGTTGCACAACTCTGAACTCCGGGATGAAGTGCGTCGGTCGAAGATCGAGAAGGGCGAAGCGACGGCCATTGTGCAGATTCTTCACGCGCAGATCGACAGCAATAAATACCAGCTTCACAATGCAATCATTGAGGCGAAGAATGATCTCCTCCACACGAAGGATGAGATCACTCGCCTACAAGCGGAGAAGACGGACCTTCGCGAAGCTCTGGAGGATAGGGACCGACAACTGACGGATCTGAAGCACCGTTTGGAGGCTGAACGAAACGAATTTGAGCAACAGCTGGATCAGATTAGCTTTGACTCGCAGTACCTCACCAGTGAGATTCAAGCGATGCGAGAAGACTCCGCAAAGGCACTTTCCGATCTAGAGCAGACTAAAACAAGGGCAGAAGAGGAATCTAAACGGCTTGCGGTCGAATTAGAGTCTGTAAACCACAAGAACAACAATTTAGAGGCATTGTTGCGCGCAATGCAAATAGAAAACCAAGAGAAGCTCTCCCTGCTTAGTGCACAGCTCTCGAATAGTCGGATCACCATTTCAAGGCTGCAGAAAGCCATTGCGGAAGAGCGTGAGAGTCGTGCTCGGGAACTAAAATCGCAATCGAGAGAGGTCGAACGCGCTCTGGAGGAGTTAAAGCGCCTCCACGAGGTGGATTCGCGGAAGATCAAGGACAACAAGGTTGTCGAGCAGGGTGGCCTTGAAGGCGAGGTTCCCTTCCTCACAAAGGCCCTCTCCAACGCGCAGCTCGACCTCTGGGAGGCGAAGAGGCAGGTGTTGGAACTGCAGCTAGACGCCAGCGAGGAACTGAGGCGTCTGAGGGCTATCCTAGACGCGCACTACATCCCGCATCAGGCGGGTGTGAGCGAGTGCGCGGGCTCCGGCAGGGACGACGCGCAACAGATTTGGTCGTCGGAAAAGAACATCGAGCGGATTCGCCGCGAGCTCGCACAAATAGAAGCCAACGATTGGCAGAAAACACTCATCTCGGACCAGGCAGAAACGATCGCAAGGCTTAAAATTGAGCTCAATAAGGCGGAATTCGATCACGCGCAAAGCATGCGCGAGATGGAGGAGGAGATTAGGTGTCTTAAGAAGGCCCTTGAGGCCATCACCGACGATAGTGCTCGAGAGGTATGTATCTAGCTAACCCAATCTTTGTGGTTATAGTCTATGGGACTTTTTCCATGGATTTAGAGTTTCGAATTATTTTTGACGTGTGTGTGTGTGGGGGGGGGGAGGTTGTTTTGTTTTTAACCTCTTACATATTCATATTTTCCTTTTTTTCATATACATCTTTTCAAAGTTTAATAGATTGCCATGTACACTAAGTCTCAGGTTTAAGGGTTTTCGCTCCCCACGAGGAAATATTTGCTAGGTTCCTTCTTCGCATGCTATGTTTGCTGGTTCGTTGGCTATTTCCCTTTGTATATGTATACATGTAAATTAAGTTTCAGAGTGATGATTTTCGACGAAGGAAAAGAAAGAAAATATCCTTGGTTGTGACTTTTGACAGTTCGGAAATGGCTTCTATTGTATTCTTTTATTTTGATTTAAATTATAAAAAAGCATCAATCTCTTTAACCTTTGTCTCCATTAAGCTTCTTTTGGGATTAGAAGAACATCAATTAGATTTTATTAAGCATTCACTCCTTCCTTTTCGATTTTGTGTCTCACTATTTCTCTGTGTGTATCTGAGCCTAAATGTCTGACCTCGGCTTAGAAAACCCCTCCCAAAGAAAAAAAACGGGAGTTTACGCTGCAGACCTTATACCAGGTAATTACCTTCGAACACGAACAGGTGTTGTTCGAGGTGAGGAACTATTTACCCGGCCCGATTTGGAGCGTCCGTGGAGAACGATATCGGCTCAAAAAGAGGCGATGAGAATAACTTTGAAGGAAAAGGAGATTGAGGAGCTGACACGTCTTTGCTCGAGCTTGCGTACGGAGTTGGGAAATGCTAAAAACGATATGCGTTTTCTTGAATACAGCTTATGCGAAAAAATGAAAGCTATGTCTGATGAAAAAGATCGTACCATTGAGTCGCTAAACGCGCAAATCGATGCTCTGAAGAAGGAGCGTGCGACCCTGAAGGAGGATACGGCGCACCAAATTCGCCTGCTCCAGTCACAACACGCTAACGAGGTGGTATCCGTCAAAAACGATGCCCGTCTGGCGGTGGATCGTGCTGCACAGCTCGAAAAGGAATTTCGTGAGCAACTTGAAGATGTCAGAGCGGCCGGTGTACGCGAGGTTCAGTTTGTAGAGACACGCTTCACTTCACAGGTAGACGCGCTAAACGCGGAGCTGCGTGCGGAAAGAGAAGCAGCGAAAGCCGCAAGGCAACATTACACAATGCAGACTACAGCGAATGAAGCCAATCTAAATTCTGTAGAGGGTGATTTTAAGGAACGTATTCGAGCGTCTGAGGAGCGTGTTGGTGAGCTACGCAAGCTTCATGTGGAAGAGTTAGCCACGGAGAGAAAGGCTAAGGAAGACGCCATCGCTGATGCGCGCCGTTGCACAGAGCAGCTGGCGCTTTTACGCGTCGAGAGGGAGGATTTCATACAGCGCTTTAAGGTCTGGAATCGTTACATCCTGTCCGAACTCGACAAGTATTACAACGGACTCATTGGGGACCATCCGGAACTTGCCGTGGAGCCCGTCGATCCGCGGCTTCCGAGCCTGCCCTTCATCTACGCCCCCCGCGCGGTGCTCGACGACGCGGCCGCGAAGGTGCACGTCGAGCGCGTGCT